AAAAATATGAATGTCAACCTATATTTCCTTATCAACATTGCTGGCTCACTTGAGTTTTTCATTAACCAACACCCCCAAATCCTTATTATTGGTTTGCTCGCAAAACAGTCTCTGCCCAGCCTATAATTATTTTTAGGATTGCCCCAAGCAACATGCAGAACCTCACAGTTGGCTTTGTTGAACTTGATCAAGTTGGCATGGGCCAACATGAATGTATCCTTTCCCTCTAGCCTGTCAACTGCAAACCACTCAGCTTGGTGTCATCTCCAAACCCACTGAGGGTGCACTCAGTGCCACTGTCTATGTTGCCCTCAAAGCTTTTAAATAGCACTGGTCCCAGCATCAATCCCTGAAACCCCTCTTGTCACCAGTCTCTGCTTGGACATTGAGCTGTGGACCAGAACTCCCTGAGCGTGACCATCCAGCCAATATCTTATCCAGCTTGTGGTCCAGCTATCAAATCCATTTTTCTCTATTTTGGTGACCACAATGTCATGCAAGACAGTGTCAAATGCTATGCACAAGTCCAAGTACACTATATCAGTAGCTCTTCCTTTATTCACAGACACTGTAACTTCATCACAAAAGGCCACCAAGTTTGTAAGGCATGATCCACCCTTGGTGAAGTCACATTGGTTATTACCTATCACCTTATCATTAAGTGCCTTGAAAGGTCTTCAGAAGGTTCTGCTCCACAATCTTGTCAGGTACAGAGGTCAAACTGACTTGCCTGCAGTTACCCAGACCTTCTTTTTTTTTCCCACCCTTCTTGAAAAAGGGGGTTATGTTTCCCCTCTTCCAGTCAGTGAGAACTTCACCAGAACCGAAAAGGGCAAACATTAACCCTACATTCCTTATACTAAGCTTTGAAACTTTATTCATGTATGGAGTACACAACAGTTTCTATAAAAGGAAAGATGCATGGCATATTATTTTTAATACATGAGGTATTTTTTCTTGAATTCACAGTTCGCACTTCCTAATCCATTAGGAAATACAATCGTTGTGAATAAAGTTACTTCACTATATTTATTCTCATTACTAACTGATCATCACATGTGGAATTTAGATCTCATTCTCTAGAAACTTGATGGGAAATTTGGATTGAATAAGAAAACAAAGAAATTTTTTATGTACTAGATGTTTAATAATTACAGTTTCTAGCCATTCATGATTTAAGAAACTAAACCCATTTCCAGAAATTACTATTAAGACATCTCCTAAGTCAAATTCCAAGCAGCTGCTTTTCACTGAAAACACGAAATTGGTTTCTTTCAATACTTAGTATAAAATGTTGGTTGGAATGAACTAACAATAACAGCAACATGCATCTGCTATACAAAACTATATCTTTGACATTCATCAGTCTACAAACAGAAGTGTCTAACAGCAAACTGCCATGGAAATCAAGGAAAATTAAGTGATCATTTACTTCCTTTTTTTGGTTGTTCAACCAATACTCATTTAAATTACAGTAGTCAAAAATTTCATATTTGTCGAATGACAAACAGCATTCTAAAAAGGAAATATTACCTGAATGATTCTTTCATCTCTCCTTGCTGAGGTACAAAAGGAAGGAGTTACCTAAGAGTATTCTGTGCCTGGAAACAGGAGAAAGAGGGAAATACTGTCTACAAGTAGAAAATTACAAAGCATACTTGGACAAGGTAAGTCCAGACCCAGAACAACACAGATTGGTATATTAAATAACTTCACTCTAAAAATGACCTTAAGAACTAATATGGGCATAGCTGTGAGAGTATCAAACAGCAGTGAAGGCATAATGCAACAGAGTTGGAGGAAAAATTCTATCTGATTTCTGTGTACAGCATTTAAGAAAAGGGAGAGGAAGAGCCAGGATTTTAGAAAACACCTGGAATTACTTTTTTCTTTTTTAAATCTTCAACTTTTCTGTTACAGAGGTGAATTTACCACTACAGTATCCACATCCCGTAGATGTCCACAGGATCTAGAAGCTACCTGTTCATACACAGTTATCATGGTTTTATGATTTTTGCTATCTGTATTCCACGTCATAACATCACGTAGAGTACTGGGAGTTCAAGAGTTAATCCTCCAGTTCCATGGATTGTGAATAGTTTTGCATACCTGGTTCTCAAAAGAAAAGAACTACACATTCCAAGGGACTTTGCATTTCCAATTTCTGTTTAGAGGGAAAGATAAAATCAGCAATCGTGGGACCTCTCCTCTCTCTTTCCCTTCTGCTTGTCCCAGCTAGACATCTCACTTTCAGCATTACATTGAGGCCTTCAGTTTTTGAACACTCTATCTCCTTCATTTTATTTGATTTATTAGCTTCAAATCCAATTATATTTTATTATATTGTGTCATCTTGTATGCAGGTATCTTTTCTAGTAATTAGCTTTTCTCCTCAGATCTTTGTCACTGTTTTGCTTCTAGGCCCATCTTCCTACCCTTTCCCTTTTTCCCCTTTCCCAGGGTATGGGTCCATGGGTCCCCCACCCCCCATTAGTCACATAACTGGGCCAAACCAGCCTGTAAACCATTGACAACAATTAAAAAAAAGTATCTGTTTACTGATTTGAAAGTAATTCTCCATTACTTTATTTCATTACTTTACTCCAATTCTCCATTCCTTGAAGTGTCCTTTCTTACCAGGTAAACACCAGATAATTAGGCCCCTATTCATTAGGCAGAAACTTTTTATTTCAATTGAGTTTTTGGTCAGTTTGGTCCAGGAAGACCAAAGCACTACTCAGTGCTGTCATAGATAAGGCTCAGGCATTCCCAGTCCCTACAACACCAAAGCAGCTGCAGGAGTTATTAGGTTTATTGGGATACTGGTGTTCCTTTATACTTCTTTTAGCACACCTGCTGAGATTACTAAACACTCACAAAAAAGGGGCAACCATGAGCCTGCGGGAGAACAGAACACAAGGCTTTCCAACAAGCAAAACTGGCAATTAAACAATCACAGGCATTGAATACATTTGATCCTATCCTCCCTCTCAGCTGCGTTGGATGTTCACGTCACTCAGGATGGCTTTGGCTGGGGCCTTTGGCAATACCAGAGTACTGTTCGGACCCACATTGGATTCTGGTCTCAGGTCTGGCACAGAGCAGAAGATAGATATAGTATGATCAAAAAACAGCTATTGGCTACTTACAGCTGCATTACAGGAGGTAGAGCTGATAACCCAAACAGCTGAAATCATAGTTAAGACCATTCTACCAATTCAGAGAAAGGTGAAAGATCTGACCTACATTCCTAAGACATTGGTAGCCCAGGTGCAAACAATGGCACAATGGGCTGCCTAACTCAGCCAGGGGAGTAGTCTAAAAGAAGAGCTACAGAACCACTCAAAGAAGAACTACAGAAGATCCAAGGCCTAGTGACACATCACAGTGACACACAAAAAGAAACGTTGGTCGCTCCACCAGAAAAGAGTTCCATTCAGGAAGGGAAATACCCTATTCTTGAAGATGTCTGTCTATACGATACTGCAGCTGTTAGCTTCAGCCTGGAAAAAAAAAAAAACCTTTTAAAAGCTGTATTTGGTCTTTTCCTTTAAATAAAATAGACATAAGAAAAATTCAAATAGAGCTACCTACTGAAGTGGCATCCCGTCAGAGTATATAAGATGGTCTCTACTTTAAATGTCTCAATGCTATTCACAGAACACTCTCTCAACTTTTGAAGTATTATTGTAGGTTTTAGATTTTGTTCCTTATCCTTATTTTATTACAAGTGTGACCACTAGACACAGGCTCTGAAATCTAGATGACTCTTCTTCTGCAAACTCCTTAACCATCAACTCATTTTTCTTGGTCCAGGGTGGAGAGGAGAAACTGAAATTGCTCCACATTTGGAGCATCAATCCACATCTGCTGTAGTGAAATGGGAACTTAAAAGTTCATAGGACTTGGTGAAAAATTTGCCAGCTATAGAGAATGCCCTAGATTTCCATCTTAAAAATGTAAGTCAGAAAAAATGATTAGCTTAGGAGGCAACAAAGAGAATAAAGGAATATTTGCATCTTGTCTGCTCTGTATGCAGTAGTGACATTTAGTTTTACGTGCAATTGTTAAATCCACGTGTACTCAATCAAAATTATTTCATTTATCAACTCTGTGCTAAATCCTGTTTTAACCTAATCCAGTCTCATTCACATAGCATATTATTTATTTCTCTTCCCAACACCCCAATTTCATTTAGCAGTTATGAAACCTAGACATTTCAATGCATATGTTATCACTTTGTGGTCATTTAACTATAAAAGGAGTGTATTTCAAAAGCAATGACACTTCCAATTCCATTTAGATCACTGTAATTTTGAAGCAGGGCAACATCCTTTCCAATACATGTATGAGTTTTTGATGAATTAATGTGAAATTTATATGCACACTATGAAGATGACATTATTTAAAGGTTTGTTTTCAATTATGTAGGCATGTTTGAGGTGAGTTTCTGCGTCAGTCCACTAAAACTACTTATGATTACAGAATCCTCTAAGAACACAGCAGTACCATGTTCTACTACACACATTTTCTAAGTCTCCATTCCCTGTTCACCCTTCTCAGAAGGAGTATGATAGAGTTTATTAATCTCTATTTCCACATCTACTTGTGAACAGTTAGTCCTTCATTTGAACATATACTCTAGAGCTTCACCATAATTGTAGAAAAAAAATCACATTTATAATTCTTGCAAATTACTTTCAGTTAGGCAAACCATACCAATAAAGACTTAGCAGCACTTGTCAAAACATACAGTGGTAAATGTTTCTTTTGAAATATTGTAAACTGAACTTGTTAATCAATTATCTAGTGAGAATCTGTTTGTTCCAGCCTTGCAAACAGGGAAATCCTCTTACAAACTTAGCTTGGAATATAGAACAACTATTAAATAAATAGCATTCTTCATGCCCAGGAAACCAAACACAAACAGTACTATTCAATTACTTAGCAAAGTAACAGCATTGTTTGTATCCTTTCTGTTTGTTTTTCCCCCCTTAGTCCATTTGGCTTTTTTAATTCAACTTATTTTTTGTTCCCTAAACTCTGTTTTTTTCTTCGTGGTTCGTCCATACTCTTCCTTTTTCTTTCATATCATTTTTAGCACAAAATCCTACCTGCTTTGAACAGAATACAGAGGAAACTCAGGGACAGGTTATTTACATTTTCAGCTGTGTATCTTCATCTGATTTAGAATAGCTACTTCAAGAACTTTACACTTACATCAGGTTTTCAGACAAGGCAAGAGGGTTTTCCTTTTCCATGATTCTTCCTCTTATACCCAGGTCATTTTTTTCTAATGAAGTATAATTATTTGCATGTTATAATTTCTACGTAAACAATTTTGGAATTTGGCAGACATAGCTAATATACTATATATTAGCTTATATTAGTATATTAGCTAATATACTACTGGCTAATATACTGCCACATCCATCCTTGTTTTCACCTGTTAGAACTTCATACTTCCCTTTGATGGGCTTTGCCTTGGTAATAAAAAAGGGAATTGAATATATGAAAAACAAAAAAAGTTCCAATATTGTCAATAGCATGTTTCTCAGTACTAGAAACAAGACATTACTATGGTAAGTGCAAAATCTAATCTTATATGGGAAAATACAAATGCAGCTACTTTCTAAATGAAAAGAATGTGACCATATATTAGCCTTCTGTTTTTACAAATCTTATACCACAATGAAATATATTAAAAAAAAGACAAACATGATTATATCCTTCACCATTGGCATATCTCTAAAAGATAAGTCACCACTGTGGGAGGAAAAGCTGATGAGATTAAGGATGACTTACAGCATGGTAACATTCAGACTGTGATTAATAGTGGTTCTCCTTCAAACATCAGCTGTAAATAATGAAAATACTGAAAACCAAAGCATGTGCATTGGCATTTCTGTATGCCAAGGAACAACCCAAGTGAGTTTGAAGGCAAAGAAATATGTACAAAATACCTAGACTGAAATCTGAACCTAAATAAATAGATGAAAACTGTGATATTCTTATCTTTACCTGGATTAATGTTAATCTTTTAGTATAACTTAAGACTATGTTGATAACTAGTGTTTTGTAGCTGAGATTGTGCTTCAAATACTGCTACTGAGCTCTTTGTAGTAGTAGTTCCCATGGAAATAAATAGGAAATACTACCTTCAGAGCAACCTAAGTAATAGTTGCTAATAAGGCACTGCAAACCCTCACTCTTGTGTATGATCTCTTTCATTCTTTTTTCTGTAGTTGGTTCTCCATCTGTCCTTTTCATTCCCCCCTGCACACACTGTAGTTTCATACTTCAAAAGTTAGGACTCTATGCAGAGAAATATATTACATCTACTCTTTCCTGTTACATGATTGATGTATAGTTAAATTTTTTTTACTAAAAAAACACAATACTCTAAAACTCTAGAATTTTATGCTTCCAAAGACAAAGAGTTCGATGAAAATATAAGATTATGTCTAAGCAACATCAACACTTTAAAGTTCAAATTTCCAATTATTAGTTTCCTCTTCCTATGCAAAACTTTCTGGAAGGTGCAACTTCATCTGAAATTAATAGAAAAGAGATTTGAGTTTTTAAATAGATTATTTTCTTTAAATGCACATTGTAAATTAGAAAAACATACACACTTATCATGACAACAGGTGGATATAGAGAACAGAAGTATTTACTAAAGACAAGTAAGAGATCAGCCTCCTCATGTAACATGGCTTTTTTTCCTCCACAAAACAGCTTTTGTAGAAGACCCGTGTTGCAGGTAAAGAATTGTGATGCCAACGCTTATCTTTTGACATCCTTTTCCCTTTTCTCCTCTCTTTTAAGGATTAAACATGCTGGAAGAGAAGGAAGACATTATAATCAGCTCTGAAACCATGAAATAAAGTTATATAAACTGCCTAATCCAAAGGTGTGAAGTTATAAAATAAATGTGCCAAGTAAAGGCCTCAATACTATCAACAACAACAACAAAAAAAAACGTTCCACTGTTTTTTCCTTCCATTCATGACCCACGTCCAGTACTTTTGTAATAAACTGAGTTGGTTTAAACAAAACGTAATTGAGAAAAAGACAACTAGTTTGTCTTTTCAGCAGGTTTATTGAGAGAATTGGCTGATTAAGAGATATGTCAGCCACAGCAAATGCTGTAAATTGTTTGGGACCTTCTATCTTAGAATGCAGTTTCAAGTATTTAGATCGTTCCTTTATGGTAGTACTAAGCTTGATTCAGTCACTGAATAAGTAATTCTCAAGATTAAGCCTAGGGGTTTCTCTTGCCTTTCAGTCATCTAATGCTTTTCCTGATACTTGTTCCCTTGCAATTTCTGCTTTTCTAAGAATGAGAACTTCTGGAGTAGTACTACAGTTGGTGCCACAGGTAGAAAAATCACTGTGGTAAAAATGGGAAAAGAAACATACAGGGAAAGAACACTCACCTTCAGAAAAGACTCCACAAAGAAGGGAACTCCAGAAAGAGAACCCCAGTAGCAGTCAACCCTCAAATGTGGTCTAGGAAGGGTGGAGCCTGGCTCCACTCCTTCCAGTCACACAGATGAATCGCCTTCACCTGTGCTCTATGGCTGACTCAGTCCTTTCTTCAGGTGATCAATCAGTGGTTCAGGCTGTGACTCAACAGTCCCTATACAGGTAGTTAACATTACAGATAGTTATCATTACCTACCACATCATGGCTTACAGCTAACTGAATGCTTTCGGGGCTATAAATAGACTTGCTTCTCCTTATCTGAAGATTATTTACTTTTAATCTGTAAATATATTTCACATTGTCTGATGAAAACTGGAAGTGTCTGACTGTACTGGGAGTGTGAATGTCCCTTTTTTAAACAAATGCCATCTCACATATTTGTCTGCCTAATTATCAAATCTCCCCTTTCTGCCTTCAATGTGATAACCTGAGTATACAGTTTAATTTAGGGTTAAATGACCCTGCTGAACATGGTGCCGCTCTATACAGTAATATTTTATAATAATATATAAGAAGGATTATTATGTTGATTTTTGAAATTTCATTGAAATCACAAGTTATACTAAGGTAACTCTAGACTAATATGAGTTTAACAGCAACTAATGCTCAAATAGCCTAAGAATGCCTAAGTAGACACATTTTATGGAATTCAGTTGTGGTTGACTCACAGTAATGTTGGTTGTCTGTGTATGACAGTGTATTTCTACAATGAGTTGACTAGAGAGAATACTTTGTTACCATACACTGTGTCTTTTGTGTGCTCTAATAAATATTGTGGACACTACTAAGAGTTATGCTATGAGTGTGCTAGCAGTACGGTGGTAAATTTTATTAATCTGGCTTTCCAATTTAAAAGTCTTACAAGTAATCTCTGCAAGAGTGAGAATCCCCAACATCTGTTGCTAGTGAAAGACATCTAAGTTGCTTGACAGAGCAATAGTCACTGACTGTCATTACTGTGGTTTGACTAACTCTCACATGACCCAAGGCAGAATCAAAACCATCTATGTACTACTAGCGTTCTTAGACATAGACGTTCAGCAGAGTCTTTTATGCTGACAGCTTTCTCTACTCCTACCAGAAAAAATTCACTACCAGAAGTAGTACTTTGGAAAAAAGGCAATGTAGGAAAACTTATCTCCTGTGGGGAGATTCCTTAAATTGGCTGGCTAGTTATCTTCTTTTGCCAAACACTTTACAGTCTTCATAGGGACTTTTGGTAGACGAATGGCAGAAGTTCTATACAATTTCTTATTACTGTATGAATAAGAACTACAAAGCTGAGTTTGCTAAAAAACAAGTTTTACAAAGAGATCTAGAACCATCTAATGTGTGTACTGTAGGGATATATTTTGATTTACCTGGAGCAGATGAAACACTAAATTTCACAGAAAACTTCCTGTGAAAAACACCTTTTCCTGGCCTCCAGTTGGAATACATATGCAAAAGAAAGTACGTCAGTTGTAAACAGAGCTCCAGGAACATTTATCTAGAATAACATTTGTAGAGCTATTAAGAAATATAATTTAGAGTGGTATACTTTCCTGACTTAGTTCACATAAACCAAGCAATTGACCAAATCAGATTCCAAATTCTCCTCCATAAAATAATCCTACTTGAATATTTGGATAGTAAAGGACACACCTCTGTGAATTCAGGTGCAATAAGGATATTACATATTTCCATTGCTACTTTCTTAGCATTTTATCACATGAGAAAAAGCCACAGATATAGCATTACGGATATTCCTATAAATAAATTAATAAAAATTTATTGACTGAAATAGCATTAGGTACATGAAAGAAACAGCACGCTACAACAAGGAGCAAACTGTTAACATAAATAGCTGAAGTATCACATTTTTCTATTATCTTTTTCTTCAGAATAAGAATCAGAGGTGAATAGGTTTGATGTTTATAGACCATTTGAAAAAAAAGATGTAGGCACTTGCACATAATTTACAGCTATTGCAGACTTACATTATTTACAGGCATTTTTAATAGGACGAATATGATTTATCTTTTGCCTGACCTTCCCTCATGAATCTCACTTTTGTGTCAAATCGAGCTTTATCTCAGATTAAACAGCATTGGTTGTGCTAGCACAGCTTTTTAGAATAGAGAAAGGAGCACTCTGCTGGATCCCCGCTGCTAAGATTACCTCTCACTGTTTGAAAACTTTAAGTTGATAACAATATATCAACATTTATGTTCACAGATCATAGCTCTAATATTTTTGTCCTCAGAGGATACTGCAGTTAACAAAATATATGCCATACTTAATCAGAGGTTTTCCTTAAGCTCTTGAACTTGACACACTAATAATTTTCTGTTGGTAAAAAGTACCTTTTGCTGTTAATAATTAGTTTACATTTAACTTTTCATTAAAAGCCATGTAACAATATCTGTATCTGCTAGTAAGAATCTGTTCAAAAGATGTATTCCAATTATGATTATCTTGCTTAGGGGCTGACCCTGTACCTGTACAATAACTCCTTGATGTCCATGAAGTAATACTCTTCTGGGGAAGCCACTTAAATATTAGAACCAAATCACTGTCTGAAATGCAGAGCTTTGATTTAAGTCAGGAAGACAGTTACCTCTTACATGGTCTGCCTTGGAGCCTTTATTCTCACCAGAGACCAAATAAAATAAACCCCGGAGGCATGGGAGTCAATCAAAATCCAGTTTGCTCTCCATATCCCTTTGCATTGCCATCACACTGTTGAGTGCTTCTGATTTCCCAGATGATTAGCTTTATGCTCAATTTGTATGTTGGAAGTTGGGTAAATTTTTGCTTTGTTTTTTTTTTTCTTTCTGTCGAGAAGGGGACCTTAAGTTCCTCCCACAACTATGTGCTCATTATAAGTGACCTATTGAATACATCCTTTCCTAACTTCAGGTGCTTCTTGGACTCTTCTCCAAAATGAAATTTAAAGTCATTATTTTCCATGTTGATGTGACAGCACCACAGAAGTTCCATTAAGTAGCTGGGTATCTTTTTCTTTGCTGATCAGACCACACTTCATGAGATTTGTCATCTGTATCATTATACAAAGAAGCTCCCTAGGGCTCACTTCTTTCACTGTGGTTGAACATAAGCTTTCTCTGCCCTCTGTCAACTGCTTGCTTTTGTTTCCATAAACCTATACTAAATACAGTTGAAAAATACAGGTAACCAAGAAATTAATCATTTCTAAAATGTACTAGTCTGCTTTTGAAGGCATCTATCAATGATGTATTTATTAAAAAACCCTCAAATGCTTATAGTACCTATTATATAAGTGCAGTTTGGACACCAAGAGGCGTTATGAGCTTTTATTAGAACTGCATTTTCTTGACATAAGATGCAGGGATCTATTAGACTTCTTGTCGTAGTGTGCATTTATTCTCCTGATGCATTTCACTTAAACAATTATGAGTTATTTTTTCATCATTCTGATATAGATGTATTCATTCTCCAGTCTCTTTTTATTATTTTAACTTAGATAGATTGAACATCATCTCAAACAATGTGTTTTGAGGTTCAGGTGTTTTGAGGATATTTAAAATCCATACAGCACATTTTATATTTTAAATTGTTCATTTGTGCATAGTCCAATGAATTCCCTTCATACATGTCACAATCACATTGCATGACTTCAACAATTACCATTCATTAAACAGATCTACATTCAGGGCTCCAGAATGTGCATTTGAACTTGATTATTTTTCATTCTTGTTGCCTGAATTAGTCCAACTGTCACTTAAGCTTAGTCAAAATAATTTTCAACAAATTTTTTATTTTCATTTCATGTCAGAATTTATTCACATTCCCAGCTTCCCTACATCACATTTTGTCTTTGGTTTGTTGTCACATTGTGCTCCACAGATCTTTTAATCCAATATGTAGACTAAATTCTGGTGAAGTTACTTAAGTAAAGCTAATAGTAAAGACAAGTTTCAGAAAGATTTCTGAAAGAGACACTGAGTAGTTCTGATACTACCAGCTCAATGTCTAAATTTATTAGTTAGGTCAGATGCTAGAAGATTGAACATTCTCTTTTTTGCCTGTTTTGACAATACGGTGTGCAGTTCCTTTCAAACAAGTCTTGCACCATCACCTCCAATCTACTACTTGCTTAGCGACCTTGTAAATATCAAGCTAGCATTTTGGGTCTATAAATTCCTCTCCAACAATGTACAATTCAGAAATATCTACTTTAGACACCAACACAATGCATTCTGTATTATTTTCAAATTTGTTTCCTACAATCTCCACTACAGCAGACATAGTGGAGCCTACTCAGAAGCTTCAAGAACGCATCTAATTCAGGCATTCTTTAGCAGTCCTGGAGTGCTAGACTAATATAAACCAAATTGAGTAATTGAACAAATACATGTGTCTGTGAAAGTAATTTTTTGTTAAATAAGAAAACGTGAAGCTTTTTTAGTTTTTCTGATCCCATCAAGGAATGTGAAGACTAAATACTTTTCCAAATATCAGCACTGTTCAAGGTGTTTGTTAGAGTGGAGGGTGGGAAGTGTGATGTCCCAGATAAGTGGAAAGGAAGAGATACAGCCTTGACTCTTAGATCACACTTAGCAACATTACACGTAAATGAATTAAAAAAAAAAAAAAAATTGTCCTTGATGATAGCCAGCAGTTGATTCACAGGAGACAATAGTCACAATGAGTATTTGGTTAACTTTTACATGGAATACCTGCCTCATTGATAGTATTAATTGGTTTGGTGTTTTTGTAAGCATGGCCTTGTAGTTGAGAAGGATCTGTTGTCTATTAATAATTCTTATTCCAATCTGTACCCATTTCGAACTGTTGCCAACCCTGTCTGGTTGAACAAACAAAAGCAAAGAACCCACAAACTCATGCTCTTCACTCTAGATATAGTGGAAATATTTTACAAGAGACAGGCTTAGAATTTCGATTCATTAGAAGAAAAAGAAATGGATCAAATACCTCACTACATACATAAACATAACTGATGATAATTCACATATAAATTAGCAGTCATTTTTCAGTTCC